GTTGCGGTAGCCAAAGTCGTGGCGTTGGCAGGCGGGCTTGAAGTTGAACATGGCTGGGCGGTCGGGAGCGCTTGTGCAGCCGTCGGAGTCCCACCGGCAGCGCTTGGGGTCCTTGGCCTTGCGGGCCTTGAGGAAGACGGGAATTGTGGTCTTGAAGATGAGCCTGTCGACAGCGGCGACACTGCAGACGACAGCGCGGCTCTCGAGAGTTGAGAGGGTGATGGAGGCATCGGTCTCCATGGGCGAGGAGGTCGGCATGGCGGAGGAGAAGGCCGCGAGAAGGGCAACGGAGGCAGCAAAGACGTTCTTCATTTTGAAGGTGTTGAGGAAGCGGAGAAGAGAGTTGAAAGTTGTGGGGTGTTGATGGTATGATGTGGAGTGACTTGAGATGTCTGAGTGGATGAGTGCTGATGAGATGATGTTACAAATGTGTGGATGAACATCCCTTCTTATAGACGTTTGCTTGCGAGTAATCGTCTCCCAAAACCATGTAATCCTTCATCTTGACATCTCTGAGATGTGTGACTCTGCCTTGCCGTCAGCTTGGCATTGCAATAGCGTTGAGATCAAAATATCTCGAGCCTAATCTCGGGGTGGGCAAGTCAGCCTGGCATGGGTTGCTGCAGGCTTGGAACAAATCACAGTTGACAGTTTCCATTATTGCCCTTGTCGAATCGTTGGATAACTCAGAGCTGAATTCGAACGTCGTCAGATTAGTGCAAGTCTGCCCGTTCTCACGATGCAAGCGCCATGTCTTTGCGGTAAAGCTCGAAAGCGCTTGCATTGATGGTAAGGTAAATTTTGACTGACCAGGTGAACATGGTGGACCAGGCTATCTAGGGAAGGACTAGCCCATACAAATGGAATATTCGTGCCCAGAACGGCATCTCCTCCGGTAAGGCGGTCACAAAAGCTTATTTCGATGTCCGTCTTACAATGCTGTGGCTGCTTGGGGGCTGTTCAGCCCAGACATTCCCATGCTGCATACCCGATCCTGGGACCCCAATTTCGACACGTGTGTGAGCTCTTGACCAAATATTGACACGGACACAGTCGTTGTCATCAATCCTGAGAATCGAATTTACCGTTTCAGTTTGCCGCAGAATTTCCTCATCGTGACATTGGCTTCTCTTGTTCTGAGGTGGTACTTTTGCATGTGTGCCTCTTTGAAAGACTGGTCCTGGAAATGCTGTGAAGCCATCGAGGCGTCGCCGTGGCCAATGCACCAGGCACCACCATGCAAGGTCCCGCAGCCAGGCGACCGATGCCAACTGCGGGGTGTCCATCATGAGCCTGTTCCTGTCACGCACTCACATGGCGGGTCGATCTGGCTGAATCCGCCTCGTCCAGAGCCCGTCACTGCAGTTCGACAAAGCGCTAGATCGCGAGGCGCGGGCTTATAGTATTGGCCAGTAATGCGCCTCGCCCTACTGCACGGTTGTCCGCCTTACCCGCTTTGGGGGCTGGAATCGAGAAGCGTGCTGGGAAGTGGGAGTCGGGGTAAAGCGTAAGCCGGCGTCTTCAGGTGTGAAGCAGGGGTAGACATCGCTTCTGCACAGCCGCCTGTTCGCGTCGTCCATTGGTCAAAGGGTTGAGAGAGAATTTGCTGCGTAACACCTGTCTGCGCAAGGCGCATATTGGCTTGGTTCTAGATTGCATGTGAAGAGCAAATTCAGGCGAGGCAGATAGTATCATACACTGCCAGGAGCTTTCTGGCCTCAATATGAGCAAAGCCTGTATTTTCTGCTGACGGGACGTCGGAAAAGGAACATCGGGGTGTGGTCAGCCATCGGGAAGCGGAAAAGGAGACAGCATAGAGCGGGTGCATCTGTCTGGGATAGGGGATCAAGGCTGGGAGTTGGACGAGGGCTGATGGAGCGGATGACCCCAGGTTGTGAGCAGTTGTAGGTACTCGAAACCAAACTTTGATTCGGACACAGGAGCAAATATCCATCACTCCAGGCTTTCATTTACGTAATAAAGGTAAATCAACCAAGGAGAAATCTAGCCATATCTACTTCAAGATCACGCATAGGTGGCGAAGCCTACCAGGTCAGGGGCAAACCGCCCCTGAGTCGGAGCCGTGAAGACGACCTCGTTCTCGTCTCCAGCCACGAACCCATCAAGCTCTATCAGCAGACGTCCAGTTTCGAACCAATCACCACCGGCAAGAGGGAACGCCCACCGCTTGCCGCCTGCCTGGTTGACGCTGACGGTCAAGTTCCTCGAGTTGGACTCCCAGTCGCCGATGGTGTGGTGGTAGTCGTAGTTGATAAAGTCAACCCCGACACGCAGCGCACCGTCGCTCGGCGCGCTGACACCACGGAAAGTGACGCTCGCATCGCCGCCAATGTTGCCTGCCTTTTTCTGCACCGGCGCGCACTCATCGGCTTGACAGTCGACAAGCCTCGCGCCGCCGGCGAGGGTGGCGTTGGCGATGGAGTAGTAGTCCGCCTCCTTCGGAGCGGCGGTCTCCACAATGTCGCTGAGGACAAGGAGACGGAGTTCGTGTGGCGCGAGCTTCACTTCTTGCGTGCCAGTGATGGCCCCGTCGGCGTGCGCCCATACATCGCGTGTCTTGGCCGACGCCACACCGATGAGGCTCAGGTCGACATTGACGGTCTGCGTCTCGTTCTTCCAGTTCGCGATACCTAGGGCCTTGCGTCCGCCTGAAAGCTCGCCGGCCCAAATGTCCCACTCTTCCTCCGTGTAGCGTATAACGAGCTCCGCCGCCTTGGCGAGGGGATCCTGGTTGATAGCGATGGCCTCCTCGTTGGACATGATCTTTAGGGACTCGGCAGGGATCTCGGCGCGGTCCATAACGCCACCGATGAAGAGGGGCGACTTCATCAAGGACCAGAAGCCGAAGTGGAAGCGCTCTTCCTCATAGGACAGCGCACCGAGGCCAATGCTGCTTCTCGTCAGCGTAGATCAACCTTGGATGCAAATGGCAAAGATGCCCGTTCCTTCACTTACATGAGCATGTCCATGTCAGCAAACGCACCGGGCCCCGTATGCTTGGCATGCGGGACGACCTGGTTGGTGATGCGCCAGATAGCCCTCCAGGCGTTGAAGATGTCATTGCTCATCCTCCACGTGTTTCCGAGTGGTGCGGCCCTGGGAACCTGTGAGCGCAAGCATCTAGACCCCCGGACGAGGGCTTCTCACCAGTCGGGCACATTTTCGCCGATTCCCCACTGGCAAAGGAAGTACTTGATGTCGCGGCCGGCCTTGTGGAGCGCATCGGCCATCTTGACGAAGCGGTCCGGACTCTGTGCCTCGGCCGATTGCCAGTCGACCATCTCGGTGCGCGAGGTTGCATAGCAGTTGTCATACCTGGGGTGAACACAGTTAGCATCTGCTGTACGTTTTTATTCATCTCTTGCTGCTGAGAAGCTTTTCCGTACTTGAGCGAGTCACCACCCCATTCGGCAAACGACTGCGCGTCGATATCCTCGTAGCCTGCAACACGTCAGTCCTCTTCTCGCTCATCCATCCAGTCGCGAACACGAAGGGGGCGTGCTCAAGCCTCACCCAAAGACGCGGGGATATCAGATGATCCGCACTGCAGGTACCCCGCCCCGGAGTAGAGACCAAACTGCAGCCCGAGGCCGTGGATGAAGTCGCCGAGCTCGACAGGCCCGGACGGGAACAGCGTCTCGTTCCACTGCAGCCTGCCCTGCGCGTCGCGGTCGCGGGACGGCCACCCGCAGTCGACGGTGACAATGTCGTAGCCGAGGCCCGCGAAGCCGAGGTCCACGAGACCCTGCGCGTTCTGGCGGATGATGGCCTCGTTGGGGAAGCAGTTGTAGCGGTTGTAGCTGTTCCAGCCCATGGGCGGCGTGGGCGACTTCACGGTCTGGGCCTCGCCGAGGCCGAGCGTGAGGGCCCATGCCGCCGCCGCGAGGGCCGTGGACGCTGTGTTGGGAGGCATTTGCGGGTGCGATGCTGCTGCTGCTGTTGTCGGTCTTAAAAGCGAGCCTGTCTGTGGTCGATGATCGTGTCGTGGCCGTGACTATTACCATGTTCAACGTCGTCTTTATAGAACCGAGTGCCTTCCGGATCCGGGCCGAGAGTCGCGATCGAGCAGACCTCTCGGTGCAGATGTGCCACTGCAATACCTCTGGGGTCGGCGGTCTTCCGAGCCCCAGGTGGAAGGAGATTGGTGCGCATGAGGACAGCGGCGATGATCACTGCCCGTTCTTCGCAAGCTGTCCGTGATCGTCTGGGGTTGTACCTTGCCAGAAGGTGGGATAATGCGGGGATCGCGATGCGACCTCATGACGCGGGGAAGTTTCCCCCTCGGTCTCTCTCTCGCGTAGCACGCCCACAACAAGACGCGATCGTACCAATCCGGTGCTTTACCGTCGGACTAGGTGCGCAATTCGTATTTCATCTGCCAGCACTACAAGACGACATGCAACGGGCGGCTGGCAGAGGGGCAAGAGTGCGACGGCGGATCTTGGCAATGCATTGAAGTCCAGAGGACGCGCGCTGTTGCGTTGCATCCCGTATTGCAAGACGCGGCCCAATGGCGACAGTTTGTTTTCAATCCAGGGTTCTTTCTTACAGTGAGAAACGTTCGATCGGTCGAATAGGCATGGGGGGGGTTTTGTACGATGGCCTCATACTTTTTAACCTTCAACCAAGCATTCCGATCTGACGTCTTGCAGGCCTGTCATCTTCACGATAAGCGATTTTGGACGACATGGTGCTTATTCGCAGGCGAGGAATGTGCGGCCCCGATCCGACCTTTGCTCTAGTGAGACATGTCTGTCTCGACTGACCAGGGGTCGGCATCAACACCAGCATTTCGAACACGCACGGCATTGCTAATATGCACGACGAAGTGGAGGGTACAGTATGTATTACCAGCTCGAAAGCCTGTCTAAGTTGGCCTTTATGCTTGCAGGCCATGCTGCTGTCCCAGACATGCCATATCTATCATGAGGCTCAAGTAAATGACGAGAAACGAAAAGAACGCTGTGACGTCAAGCTGCCTAGAGAAGGGCGGCGATGAGGACACCGGCGGCGACACCGGCCATACCGGAGCCAACACGGCCGGCGGCAGCGGTAGGGAGACCGATGGGAGCGGTGCCGGTAAGGGTGGGAGGGAAGAAGGAGCCGGTGCCGACGGCCGTGGTCTTGGCAGACGGCTGAGGCTTGGGAGGCTGCGAATGGGGAGGGTTCTGCGTGACCAGGGTCTTAGGGGGGTGGCTCTCGGTGACGGGGCACACGGTGGTCGAGAGGGCAATGGTCTCGGTGGTGACGTGGGTGCCGCCGGGGCAGTTGGGGACCTGGGGAGGGCACGAGGTGATGGTGCGAACGTTGGTCATGTAGACAGTCGAGGTCGTGAACTGCGTCGGGGTAGGGGTGGTGGTAGGCTTGGTCTTGTCGGCCTCGGACACGGGGCAGACGGTCGTTGAGATGGCGATGGTCTCAGTTGTGACGTGATGGCCGCCGGCCGGGCAGTTGGTGACCTCGGGCTTGCAGGAGGTAATGGTGCGGACCTTGGTGGCGTAGACGGTCTGCGTCGTCATCTCGATAGAGCTCGTGACGAGTCCCTGCGAGCCGATCACGGTGGTGTTCGAGTACTGCTCACCGTACTTGTGACCAGAGACGGCAGCGACCTGGAGGGCGATAGCGCCGAGTCCCATGTAGAAACCACGCATCTTGACTGGTGGGGAGGCTGGTTGTGTTTGGTGGTTGGAACGAGCGTCGGTGACTGAAAGTCGAGATGAGAGACGGTAGTGGTCAGAAAGAGTGACTGGTGCTATAAAGAGGCAGAAGAAAAGGTGCAAGAGTGTTCGGCAAGGCGCCCCTTTTGAATGCCGCGAACCGTCGAACTGTGATGGTGACCGTGATATTCCATGGTGAGCTTAAAGCATGAACTGTGGACGTGGACAGCAGGCCAAGGCCGGGGTGGGTGCTGGGAAGGGTGGATTGGGGGGATACGAGAGGGCAGGCCCCTGTGCCGGGAGCCGAGATGCTGCGTCTGATGGGTGATGGGCCATGACTGATGTGCTCCGTGGTCGAAACGAGGGTCTTGTCATTTCTTTGTTGCTTGTTGTCGGGCTCAAGGTTCTGATGGTCGTCTTCCGTGCGGTGTGAGGTGTGGGAAGAAGACGTGCACAGGGCGCAGAGGGGTTTGATTTGATAGACAAGAAGTGACCAGACAAGAGAAGAGTGTCAGCAGGCAGTCGGGAAGGTGGGGCGATGCTACTCAGGGGAAGAGAAATCCAGGGGAAGGTTCGACTGTGCTGGTCGTACCTGGCGAAGCGGAGGGAACGTCAGGTCTGAGGGGAGGGGCAGGGAGTGTCGGCCTCTGTCGAGGCTCTCTTGCTGTATGCACCTCGGAAGCCGAAGCAAAGGAAGGCACCGTGGGAGGACCCAGCAGGCTCATCTGGCGGCGGCTTCTTCCATATGCAGGGCCTGCTTCGCCCCCCCCCCCCCCCTCCTCCTGGCCCCTGCAGAATGCTGCCTTACAGCGCAGTCCACACCAGGCACCCGCTATTTTTGACTTTGCCCGAAGTCACCTCGCCTGTCGACCTATTCTTCGTCTCCCTTGCACACGAGCATCAATTGTGCTGCTCCCTTTTCATCCCTTTCTCATCTCGAAGCATCGAAACCTCATCATGATACCGTTTCATCAATTTTCTGGCTCAGAGTCCCCTTTCCCCATTTCGTTTCCTCAAAGTTCAACCCACCTCCGCAGCCCATCCAAACGCCGGCTTTTGACCCTGCTTGAGCTCCCTCGTATCAATTTTTGCTGCTATTTTTCGCTCCCGAGACCGACAATATAGTGCTAGGCCGCCCCGTATCACTACAACTCGCACCTCCACCGGGGCTGACAGCTCGCAGGCCGGCTGAGAACCCTCTGGACTCGGTACACGGCGTCTAGCGCATGAGCTTGATGGGCCCCCTTCTGCTGTGAATGGCTGAACACTGTTTTTCTAGCGGCGCTGTCGAGTCTGTGCCGACATGAGCCTCATTTGCTACGAGAACCTTCGGTGCTGCCATGACGTCGATCACACGCATCCTAGAAAGGGGTCATCGGCATCGCGGCATTGAAAAAATATTCTCAGACTAGCGCAGAGGGTAGGTGAGCAGGCCGCTTGTTGACCTGCTTGAGCACACATCTGGACCTTCAACCTCGTCACGGGCTCCCGGGTACACGCGACGTCAATGCAAGAGCTCGACTTTGACGCTGGCCCCCCCGATCTCGCTGCCTGTCTCCGCTACCCTTGCCGCGTCATCTGATCTCTTCACTCTCGCTGTCCAGGTGTTCAACAAGTGAAGACAGCTGGGCCAGGGATTGTGTATTCGCCCGCTGCACAAATCAGATCAGATACAGCTAGCAAGGGGGACAATGGTAGCATAGACTTACGCAAATAGGCATTAAAAGTAACTCCTGGGTCATCAGCAGCATAAGCACCGGGAAAGCTGACAAGATCCGTCGGGACAGCGGTGCCCAAGCCGTTGATCTCGAGCTGGTGGCAGTTGGGGTAGAATTGGACGCCCGGGTACGCAAACGCCGCATGCAGCGCAATCGTCTCATGGCGAACCAGGTAGTGTCCAGGCTGTAGGCAGGCTGGAACCGTGTACTCGTATTCATAACCCTCTGTCATGAGCGGCGAAGAGCCCCACTCGTTTGACGTGCTGCTCTCGCGACCCTCTTCCTGAATCTTGAAAAAGACGGCCCTACTCTTTTTGTCAGAAATGTCTTCCTTCACTAGAGAGGCTCGACATCCCAGGAACTCACTCTTCTGCCGGCTCCCAGTCCTGGCAGCCTGTATCAGGGCAACGCGCCATGTAGGTGATCATGGGTCCCACGTGTGAGTCTGGCCACAGCGTCCACCGCAGCTTAACTGTTGATCCGGCCTCTGCTGCGGCATGCAGCTTGGCCGGTGCCGATCCGACTACCCCGCCTGCCGACCAGCCTCCGCATTGCAGATCGATCGAGTTGACATCCTCGATAGGACCATCGCCGGCAACCGGGCGTGACACGCGGTCGGGCTGCGAGAAAAGGGTAAGCTCATGTCAAGACGCAGCAAAGCGGCGCTCTACGTACCGCAGGGTTCAAGTAGGGGTCTTGGTAGGGCTTTTCCGCTACGTGTCAGCTCGAGTTCGGAGACGTACCCGGAACGCAATTCACCTGATAGAACTATTCGACGAGGAGTCAGCACTCAGGCTCGGAGGGCGACACAGGAATCAGTACCTTGTATTCCACGCCGCCGATGCTGGCGGTATCAACATAGCCGTGGCCCGCAGCCAAGGTCGCCAGTCCGAGGACCTCGACTGCTTTTGTGAGCTTCACCATCTTGATGACGCCTTCGTTCGAAGTTGGGTCTGTCCACAGAAATCTCGCCTCAAAGCTAAAGTCTGCTATAGTGGTCGAAAGTAAGTAGCCGGCGCCCTCAACGTCTTTTATACCACCCGAATCAGTGCCCAGCATCCCGTGTTCTAAGGTCATGAACCCGTCGGCTCAGGCAAACAGCCGCGCCGCGCCGCCAAGCCGCCTCATCGCATTCAACGGCCCCACCTCCGCGTTTCGCTACCAAAAGGGGCCGTCCGGAGTCTCTCACTGCGCGGCATGCCCTCCGGCTGTCGTCATGAGAGGCACGCGGCGCACCAAAGGGGGCCCTGTGTAATATACATCAGTGGGGTTCGCCGTCCGATGACCCGGCCCCGATGTGGGATTGATCGGCGGCATGGTCGGCAAGGGCCCGATGGCGGAGTGGGTATGCCGACGGCTCAGCGAGACAGGCAACCGAGAGTACCTACGACACGTGAGGTTCCGATGCTGCAGCCGATGAAGGGCGCGGTGCTGCAACTACTGAAAAAATGAGGCTTCTACAGGAATTTCGGGCGCGTCTTTGTGAATCCTGCTTGGGATTGGTACATGTTCAGGAGAGTGTTCCGCCACGTGCTTGGAAGGACAGGAGCTTCAGGCAATCAAGTTGCCTGCCCTCCTTGCTCGACCTTTGGGTCCACAAGAGGTGCTCAGGCTGTGTCAGAAAGTCAGGCCGTTCTGGGTCATGTCTATCTTTTGCTCCGAGACTGATAATAACGTTGACTGAAAGATTGCGATTCAGGCCCTTTCAGCTCTTAACCAGGCAGCAAAGAAGCAACAGCCGCAGCCAGAAAAGGTACAAGCAAAGCTGCGTATATAACCTACCCGAGAGACAGGAACACCACATTTCTGTGCTCATCTAGGATCTAACAGCTGTGCCTGGATCTGACTATGCCGTCCAAAAACACGGCAAAGTGCCCAACTGAAATCGAAAGTACTCATCACCTCCAGTTTGTCTCATTGACACGCGTGTAAGTCCTTGAAGTCAAATGCATTCACAAACGAGATGGCTCAAGAAGCTTGAATCTAGAACGTGCAGTAGCTTTGACGATGCTTTTTTATCTTCAGATCCGTCACTAGAAGCAATGATCGTGTGCTTAAGGTCTCTGTATTGACCGATGCGTGGTAACGCACGAGTCTGGCCCTGATGATTGTCAGCTCAGTTTCGTGAGTGTCAAAGGTACAGGGCAGTGCCATGAAGAATGACGTTGAGATTGTTACTATATAGAAGATTGGGATGACTGGAACTTGAAAAGACAACCGGTCTTCCTATGGAGAAGGATAAGCTGAACAAGGCAAGCTGTGCCATACTCATGCTTACGTTTCGGCGCAACCACATCTCGGATAGAGTTTCTCCTAGGTTAACCTTCTCACCTGTGGAAGGTGTCATCAAGTCAGTTTCACCAGCAAAATTGGCCGATGAAATAACAAAACAAGAGGATCAGTAGAGAAAATTTCAAATCCAGAAATGACCGGCCTGACAGGACGAAGTCGGCCCCATCGATCTGGCGACTGCGCGGGCAGCTATCGAATCCTTTGCGTGGCGTCAAATTTTCCACTCTATCAGGGTCTACTCTATTCCGAATCTTGCAAATTATTGTTGACGTCAAGCCTTTCAATAACTGCTGCTTCTGAAGATGCCAGTGCTGTCGCCTCCTGTGGTGGCGTGTCCGGAGCTGGTCAAAGACATTTCCGCCAATAACGCCTGCAGCTGAGATCATCGAGAACCAAGCTGAGAGCATCTGTGGGAGAGAACATACTACAATGCGACCCTGTGATGCCTTGCCTGCACTGCTGAGTTGCCATTCTCGGCGCCTTGCAACACTGGCGAACAAAAGCTGATATGGTCTGCATAGGGAGACCTGGTTTGTGTAGCGTAGCTTGCGCCCATTCTTAGCGATGAACAAACACGAGATCCAAACCAGATAATCCTGACGGCCCGGCGTGGACTGAATGGGCCCATTGTGAAGCCAGCAATCGGGGAGGCATTTACAGGCAAGAATCAACAGGTTTGTCAGAGAAGACCGAGGGGAACGACTATTTAACGCTTCTTGGCGTCGTCCCCCATTTGGAGCTCAGCGGCCGATTTGGTTGTCTTGGCATTGGCAGAAGGCGCTACACTACTGTATCTGAAGCAAATCGGACTTAAGGGCATGACGAGAACCGAGATGAGGGTAACTTGACGGGCAGTTCCCCTGTAAAGAGCACTTGTTTGCTGGCCCCGATCGGGACACGGAGACAGTCCCACGCGGCCCTTGCGGACTAGCCGCAGGGGGCGATTGGCGGCATTGGGAGGAACTCCGATGCAACTCCCGAACACATGGCAGGTTTCTCCACGCGTTTAAGTTTTGGCTTGCAACCCCAGGTTTACCGAACATGCCAAGAAGATAGTGTTGGACGAGATGCGGAGCTGTTGAACGGTGGTAGGTCAAGACACCCACAAACTCCAGCACTGCCTCGTTGAGGGGTTGCTGGACATGTTTGACTGAAATATCTGCCAGTCCTGAAATTAAAATGAAGAAAGTGGAAAAGGAGTTTTACGATCCGAGGTGTCTTGAGTGGTGGGAAATCCGAAGAGAAATAGATGAATGGGACAACTTGCTCAATCAGATTGTCCGCAACATTCACTGTGGCTTGGGGGAAAACTTGACAGGAGGGTCAAGCTCAAGGAGGGACATAAAGCCCGCGTCTGCCCATGGAGTTGAAGTCCTGTTCTGTAGATCTTTACCTCAACATTGTTTTCCCACATAGGATCTGCAATCGTGATCGACCCGAGACCCGAGCCCGCTCTCTCACATCGTCCCAGACTTTCACAACCCTTGCAATGGAGCTGAAGAACCTAGCCCTTATGGCCTTTTTGGGTCTGGCCTCTGCTCAACAGCAGCCCTATGGCCAATGCGGTGGACAGGGCCACACCGGCCCGACGACTTGCACCTCTGGTTTGTACACCTGATGTTTCGGAAGATTTGAGCTTTTTGAACCGCTGAGGCTGACATCGACTACAGGATGGACCTGTGTGGTCTCTAACCAGTGGTACTCACAGTGTCTCCCCAGCTCGAGCAGCCCTCCCCCGAGCAGCCCTCCTCCGAGCACTCCGCCGCCAAGCACTCCCCCTCCGAGTACTCCTCCTCCGAGCACACCCCCTCCGAGCTCGCCTCCTCCTTCGAGCGGTGGCAACTCGTGCGGACCAGCTCCCATTGACCAGCTCGTCGGCTACGGTGCTGGCACCACGGGCGGTGGCAGCGGCAGCGGTGTGACTGTCACTTCTTGCGCGGCTCTCAAGACAGCCATTGCTAACGCTGGCGTCATCCGCATCTCCGGCATCCTTTCGGGCTGCGGCCGCATGGACCTTTTGGCTGGTACGAGTGTCATCGGTGTCGGTGCTTCCTCCGGTCTCCGTGACGGCGGCTTCCGTGTCCGCCGCACGGGCAACGTAATCATTCGCAACCTCGTCTTCCACAACCCCATCCCGGGTGGCGACATTGTGTCTCTCGACCAGGCAGTCCGCGTATGGGTTGACCACTGCGACTTCCGTAGCGATGGTATAGTTGGCGACAAGGATTACTTTGACGGCCTCCTTGACGCATCGCACGCCTCGGATCAGATCACCATCAGCTGGAACAAGTTTCACGACCACTGGAAGGGCTCCCTCGTCGGCCACTCCGACAACAACGCCTCTGAGGACCGCGGCAAGCTGCGCATCACCTACCACCACAACCACTTTTACAACGTCAACTCCCGCCTGCCCTCGATCCGCTTTGGCACCGGCCACATCTACAGCTCGTGCTACGAGAACAACCCCACGTCCGGCGTCAACTCGCGCATGGGCGCCCAGGTCCTCGTCGAGAACACCGTCTTCATCAACACGAACCAGGCCATCGTCACGAACCTCGACAGCGACGAGCCGGGTTTCGCTGTTGAGAGGAACAACCTCTTCACCAACAGCCCCATTGGCATTACCCAAACGGGCTCTTACTCGCCTCCTTACAGCTACACGTGAGTCCTAAAGAATCGCCGTGAGCACAGTAAGGTATTCTGCTGACATTCAATAGTCTTGACCCGGCCTCGTGCGTCTGCGCCCTCGTCAAGGCCCGCGCTGGCACTGGTGTTGTGGCTTAGTCCACCCGCAGCCCCAGCCATCGTTGGGCTCATTGGCGCCGAAACTTTGCGGCCGTCACCAAATGGTCACTGCTTTAGGGGAGGATGATCGAGATTGTTGAGTTGACGGCTCAGTTGGAGTTGGCGGTTTTTGCCGTTTCCCGCATCAGAAGATTGCTAAGGGCTCTCCTGTGGTGGGCGGCGACGGCGGATCAGCCGAGGTAGCGTGTATCGGGCGTCCTTCTTTTTAGTCTCGTTCCAAAACAAAGAATATTGCGCTGGATTTCGATGATGCCTCTCTGTCTTGCCTTATTCAGATTGTTGTCATTAGTTTTCGCCTGTGGCTGTTCGGCTTTACATCAATCAACCAACCATCTGGCCAAAGCTTCGCATAGGACAGCCTCAAACGTGTTTGGCGTCTTCACCTCTCCTAGATAAATCCCTTCGTTTGGGTATCGTAATTGGGCGCTGTCGTACGGCGACAGGGGAATGCCCGTCTGACACCAGGATAATCAATTGAGCCCTTCCAAGCAAAGTGTGAACGCTCTCTATTATGAAGGCATTAAAGCCAGGTCTATCGTCTTTCGAACAAGTACAAATCCCGCAACCTGGATCTCCTTACTGCAGCATCTGCTGCATGGCGTTGATGCGATAGCTCTCCCTTCTCTCCATGAGCTCCGCATGGCGGCCCTGATCGACAATCTTGCCGCCCTCGACGACGAGGATCACATCCGCCTTCTGCACCGTGTGCAGCCTGTGCGTAATGGCCAGCACGGTGGTGCCCCTCGAGGCCCTCTCGAGACCCTCCTGCAGCGCCGCCTCACTCGCGGCGTCGAGCGCGCTCGTGCTCTCGTCGAGCAGCAGCAGCC